TTTTTTTTTACAAATATTTTCTTCAATAAATGCAGTTTTCGAAAATTTAAACGAAATGGAAAACTCTCATGGAGAACATATTTTTAATGCAACTTGAATATTTATAATGTTTAAATTTCAAGCATTTTTTTTACTTATAAAAATATTTTGTTTTTTAATGCTCCAATATGCTCCATTTCACTACGCTTACAAAAAAAATTCATCAACTTTCGTCAAATACTTTAATAGCAAATGAGTTTTGAAAAAAAAGACTGCTTAAAAATATATTTGCTTATGAAAACTTTAAAAATTTGAATTTTCCAAAAAAATTCTCAGAATCCCTTTCACATTTATAAACCCCTCTACCCACAAATTTTCACGCAAAAATTCGAACTTGACTGAAATCCGAGGTCCAGTTGAGAAATTTTCACCCAAAGTTAAATATGTAGCGCAAATACATATCTCCGAAGTAGATCAACAAGTTTCACCAACATTTTTGTTTAACAATTGTATATATTAAAACTAGGGCTGGGGATTAATTGATTACTCAAAATTTTAATTAATCATAAAGTAAATAACTCAATTATTCGATTAATTGGAAATTATGATTACTCAAAAGTTCAGTTACTCGAGTAATCAAGATTTTTGATTAACCAAAAACAAAAATATTTGAGTAAAATGCTTTATGATTAATCAACATTTCGAGTAAAATGAGTAGTCAACATTTCAACTCTTTACATATATATAAAGTAGTTAAAGTTCCTCGATATTTTGAAAACCACCAGCCTCATTGCGTAAGTCGTAAATTAGGGTAAATTGTACGACTCGACAACATTGGCATTGTTTACTGTCGTGCTGAAAAAAGTAAACGACGAAATTTGTCGAAAACTATACAGTGCTGCCAAGTTTTTCCGTTTTAATACACTAGGCGAGTGGAAATTTTAGGCAATGACGTGAAATTTTCGATACGATTCGACTCTCGAAAAACGACTTGCATACGACACCACTCTCGCAATGAGGGTGAACGTTTCTGTTTTCAAAAATTAAAACAAAAAATTTTTTTCATATACAGAATGTAAAAAAGAAAATAAGCAATTTCCAAAGCAAACTCTATTAACGAGCAAAATAATTTTTTTTGAGTAATCATATTTCAAGTAACTCGATTAATCATTGTTTTGAGTAATCGAAATCTTGATTACTCGAGTAATTGATTAACCGAATAATTGATTAACCAACTTGCTCGAGTAATCGAATAAATGCACAGCCCTAATTAAAACTACTATTGAAGTATACATATATATGTATGTGTGCACGTTGCAATACAAAATACTTATTTCAATTAAGTAATATAAAATTATCTTCTCCTGGAAAAAATCTTAAAAATTTGTGTTGTTAATGCCAGACTTAAATCTTAAATTGCAGGACTAATGACTTTCTCAGGGGTTAGGGGGCATTAAGTAAAACTTTTCTCCTAATTAAAAAAGCGATCGATTAACTGAACTTGTTCAAGTCGGTTGAATTTCGCAAGATCGGGGAAATAATTGATCGAATTGTACTACACGCGTGCATCCGATACAAATCATGTAAAAGTAACCACTTTGTATTGTATTTTCAACAAAACTTCTCTTAAATTCACAGCCTTTTTCCTCACTTTGCTTTTGCACTCCATAGTTTTTTATAAATACCTTTTTGAGCACGTAATGCTGCTAATTAAACATGAATATAATCGCTAATACATTTTCATATAATTATTTGTAAACATTTTATACATTGTAGCTCCTGCTCTGATGCATCGCGAAAATCCACAAGAGAAATAGGTTAGTTGCTCTGCGATTGCATCAATGAATGAATGTTCCGCTGTGTTGATTATGCCGATTGCTTTAGGCATACAACGCCCACCTACAGAGGTGGTAGCGGTAACACCTACATATGTACATTAGACTGCATCACTCCCCATACAAAAAAAAATCTGTACTGTTTTCCCATTGAAATTATAAAACCTATTATATTTTAAGACGTCCACCAAAATATTTCGGAAAAATATTAAGATTTAAGCGAGCTGGACCGATTTGAAAATACTTCCAAAAATGCAGTTTTTATGAATAAAAATAATTTCTTAAAGATGTTTTTTGAAAAAATGTCCTCAAATGACAAAACGGTTTAAACTTAAAAAATTTACATAAAAAAAAAAAATTCCAACTGAATCGTAATAATGAGATTTTTGATGCGGTTTGTTAACTTTTTTCAAAGATTGGTATAAGATAAACTTGAATAATTAAGCATAAACTGCTCCGATTTAAACTTGTGAGGTATCATTGGAAAGGTATTTTCTCACCCTTTTTATTTCTTTGCTAATAAGCTCATTCGAAGGATGAAAAAGAAAGGTAGGATGAACGAACATCATTCAAAGTTGAACTAAGATGTGTCAGTATTTGAAAAAAAAATTGGGACACGAATGACTTTTTTGCACATATGTATATAAAAAAAGTGGTAAAATGCCTTTCTAACGAGATCCCATAAGTCTAAATTAAAATAGTTTTGGCCCAGTTATTTAAGTTTTTCGTAAATCAATCTTTAAAAAAGTAAAAAACAGCATCAAAAATCTCATTATCACGATTCCGTTGAAAAGATTTTTAAGTATTTTTATGCAGATTTTTTAAGCCTAATCTGTTTTGTCATCTGAGGGGACTTTTTTTAAAAAGTTCTTTAAGAAACTATTTATATTCATAAAAAACTCCTTTTTTGGAGGTATTTTAAAATCTGTCCAGCTCGCTTAAATCTTAATACTTTTCCGAAATATTTTTGTAGACGTCTTAAAATATAATAAATTGGGAAAAACCGCAGCTTTTTTTGGTGATGCAGTCTAAAGTACATATATGTAAGTGGTGTATAGAAAATATACCTATCGTGTTAGGGGTTAGATAAAGTTTAATGAAAACGTAATCGCCTTAGTAAGTACTATTCTATTAGAGCCCATTCTTTTGGCGGCGAGGAAATTCTGAAAAGCCAATTTTCTTCGGAATTTGACTATCCTAATTTACATACATATGTATATAGAGCGAACAAAACTTTTAAACATTTACAGAAAAGCGGATAGCTGTCGCCAACGCCAAACGAACGGATAGCCATTGTTACTTCAAAAAGGCCCAACACAAACGAAAAAGACCCAAAACAAACGAAAAAGGCCCAAAGGCCTAAACGGAGAAAAAAGGCCCATATTTGGTACAATTGTACCAAAGTGGCAACCGTGCCCATAGGTGTAAAATAGATACCCGTCAACGACTACCACAAGAAAATTCACTACTACTTCAAACTTGCACTTTATTATAACCAAACTGCACACTCAAAATCTCTATGCGAAATCTAGTTAAAAGGTTCGACATTTTTACATATAGGTGAAGTTAAATGTATAAGCTTGTTAAAAAAAGTACATTAAAATTTCAGTGGCAGATTTAGGCAACTGAATTTTATTTTCTTCAGTAGCTGGTACTTTTCTAAGTAACCTCCAGTAGAATTATAGGCATCATCGGACATCGTGCTATCATTGTTTCATTTAACATCCCAAATTTTGTTTAAAAAAAATACTATTATATTTCTACTTAAAAAATATATCTTTTACAATCAATGTGTATTAAACAAGGTGTGATGGACAACTGAGGTAGGCTCTCTATTATGCCAAAAAATATAAAGAGGCGATTCAAAATTAATACAAAATTTTTTCATTTTGACTTTATAGGATGGTTCTTCTGAAAGCAATGTCAAATTCAATCACACTTTGTTGAATATATTTTGGTTACCATGTTGCTATTCACAAACTTTTTACGTATTTTACTAGCCTTCAGACGTACATACATAGATTCCATTTAGTTTTGTTGGATTGCCTTTACTCAAAGTATTTTTACACGTTTATAACTTATCCCTTTGAATCTACCATAATGTTATGCTTGGGCGAAGACCGCATGCCGACTGAAAATAAAGAGGGGACTTGGGGCACAGGCCGTTACTGTGAACGGGTTTCGCTTCTTAGAGGATTCCTTTAGCCATCATATTGATGAAAAAGCTCTGCCTAGAAACTGTTTTTTTTTTCCAATTTTGGCCGCACTTTTGGATTTCGGCCGCACTGTGTGGCGTAAGAAATTTTGGGAAACCGACGAGTTAAGTACTGACGATCTAGCAACTGTATCAATTACACTGGCCAATAAAATTGCACTTATGGCCTGATGAATGACTTATGACAGAAGATGTTTACTCATTTGACGTCGCTGTTTCTACTCTATGCTGATACCCTCATTTGTTTTCTGGCAGCTCTTTTTCACGACTTATAGCTTTCATCTTCGTACTATGGAGGAACGCTATCAAGGCCTGAAACGTACACATGATGGTTGACTATTGTTGAAACATTCACAACTGCTCTCTAAAATTAGATTACCCCACTGGCGCGAAAAAGTATTGGCACAGAGAATTTTTTATAATATACATATGTACATTAAACTGGTCCAAAAATGTATGTGCAAAAGTAAGGTCGGATTTTTAATGCCGCCACCCCCTAGGATTCTTATATACCGAAAAAATATACCCCTACTTTTTAATTTGAAATATAAAAAATTTAGGGACTGCTCAAAGTGCTCAAAGTTTCCCATGTCTTTTATGTGGTGAAAAACTACTTTTCGTAGAAATGGTGTAGAATTTTTGAAAATCAATATTTTTCGATGGGAAAACCTTTCTTATCTTCAGGAGATTTCCAGTAATAATACCCAATTGTTTCTTTAACCACTTTTTCATCGAAACTATATTTTATAGGTCCTCCAAAACCCCCAGAAAATGCAATGGGGGACCAATGAAAAATCTTTAATATTAAAAGATTGTTAAATAAACGATTGGATATTAATGTTGGAAGTTTCCTGAATAGAACCACAGCTTTTCGACCGAAAAATATTGATTTTCAAAAACTTTATACCATTAATTAAGCTAGTATCATGTAGATAACATAACCTATTTTATTATCAGAAAATGCGGTTGTGCGGTGTTATTTGAATTCAAGTTTTCTTAAAAATTCATTTGCAACCTAAACATTTTAACAATTTGCTCAAATTTAAAAGTACATATTTGAAACATTTCCAGAATGAATAAAAAATAAAAGCTTTTTAGATAGACTAATCGTACATATGCATATAATATGAGGAATCTTGATTTAATTCCAACTAGTTGGAAAAACCAATAGACTCACAACTGCCGCACTCCGAACTTGGACTTGTGTAACTGGATGAAGAATTCGTTCCATATGGTTCTGAAGGATTAACCTTCAAGACAAATAAACCCTTCAAGTTTTTCGGCACAGCATAACCCATAGGATAGTCTTTACCAACACAACGCCCTTGCTCTAAATGCAGCAGCGAATCACAACGCTTAGAAGGAAAATTGTACTCATTACCCGGATACACAGACTCCACATAGTACTGCCAAGAACGTTGATGGGAACAAACTGGCTCCAAGCAGCCATTTTGTATGGGAAAACGACCTCCTACAAAGAAATCCGAATCACCCGTAGCCCGAGGCTGGGCGGCTATACCAGGATCGGTGTGAATAATGTCGACATAATCGGCATCGCCTGTCGAAAGTGTAATTAGCTTTTGACCATAATTGAAGCATGGCCCGGCAGGATCGAAACCAGTGACACGTGGTATTTGTTTGCCGGTTAAGCGTTTAAATTTTCTAGCTGTTTCACCAACAATTTGTGCGCCCAAGCTGTGACCCATCAGGTGGAAGTTTTCGAGTGGCACAACTTTGGTTAAATCAACCAAAGCATTTGCAACTTGTTCGCCTATGTTTTTTGTGTTTAAAGATGACCAAGTGTAAAGTGTTTCAATGTAACGACCAACATCAATGCCCTGTCAACGCAAGCGTATAAAAGGAAGTCAGAGAACGAAATTTTCTTATAAACTTTTCGGATTACCAAGAAATTTGTATCACCACGACAGCGGTAAGCTTTCCCCAGACCTTCAAGCACATCATCAGACTTGTTGGCATTTGTTAGCCAGCCGGAGGCAGCTATAACAACTCGCTTGCTAGCATCAAAGTCAGGGTCATCCACTATGGTTGCCAAATCTTTCAGTCGGTATGTCTTTATATCACAAGCTGTGCGCAATTGAATAGAGATATCGTCCGTGCTGGGAACGTCAGCTGGATCCGGATTAATGCCATCTTCAGTTAAAACGGCAGCACCTGAAATGAAATAGTAAAAGTATTTAAATAGTGTCTCTCAAAAATACACGAAACCTCTTTACTTACATATGGTACTTGTTATTAATGAGGCGAATTGAATTGGAAATCCAAGCACAAGGTTGCCAACAAAATTGAAGAAATAACTAGGTGTCAATTGATTTCCAAATGCATCCACCAACCCAGTCGCGATGTCGCCAGCCGATTGAAGCAGATCGGGCAAGGATACGTCTATTGCATGAGCGCCATCTAGCGGTATTTCTGCTGCAAAGCAGGCACTTATTGCAGTGATACTCACCAGCAGTGGGCAGACTCTCATTGTCTGGAATTATTTTAGAAGTTGTAAGTGAAGTTCATAAGCGCAAAAATGTTATACGTGCGGCTTTCGCAATGACCATCCATTTATATACTGAAATGCTTACATTATTCACAAGCTAACTTGCATAAATTTCGCCTTTATTGTTGCTAATTCCAACGTAAGCCGGGATGTCAAAGGAACCCATTAAATACAGAAACTAAGTACGTATTTGGTGTAATAAAAATGGAGCAAAACAAAAGAAGTGCAACGTGCTTTCTTATCTATGTACATATCGTCGGTGATACTGCAAAACGTTCTATGTCAGTTATTACCTCGGGTGCTTAATTGATCTGTTATCTCTATCTGATCGATTCTAGCAATCGTTCATCTGCCAAAGGTAGACAGTTTTTGTCATTCGTTTGCTAGGGTATAACGATTTGCAGATGCATTCCGGTGCAAGTAAGAGACCAACTAAGAGTCAAGGGTATTAATAGACATAGACCGTTTTGCAGTATCACCGACGATATGTCGCGTGTTTTTAAAGCAATGCCTGCGTATGTAATCAGTTGTAGGCACAATTATACAGCTGTATACTAGCACCAAGCATTGGGAAATTAGCTAAGAAAAAAATGTCTGTGTGATAAGAAAAATCTTATTTGCAATTAGGCATTTCATAGAAAGCAATTAAAAAAGTATCTAGTTGACTTGAAAAATTTGTTTTTACTCGTAAAATATAATTGGAAATAATTTGCATTAATTTCCCTGTATTCGAGCGCACTGCTCTTTAAACATATTAAAAACTTTAACGTTCAAGGACAAGTACTAAACATGTTTTTTTCTGATACAAACATAAATATGTCCTTACATCATTTTGTTGCTTTTTTCGTTTATTTGCGAGGTATTTAAAGTAATTTCTAAGCTTACTAAAAACTCTGTAAAAAGGGCGGAATTAGAGGAGCCGCGGTCAATTCATCTCTTCGGATAATTAATATAATTCGGATAATTCGGAGTGCCATTTACTGTAGAAATTCGACTGGATTTCTATTGTTTATTAAACATATTTTTTGCACTAAAGTTTGGCAATGACTGACAATTTTCTGAAGCATTTTCAAAATAACTATCAACTCACTAAAGCTGTGNACCAACACGGATAATATAAGTACTTATTTTTAAACAAAATTCAATCACTTAATCCGGTCAATCAAAAACATACTTAACTACACTAATTAGCAGAGTCCAAAATGTAAAACAAGTAATTTTTAAGCAAAATACATAACCGACTTCAATTCTCATATAAAAATTTAGGAGTACCGTTAATTTCTTCATNTATCATTTTGTTGCTTTTTTCGTTTATTTGCGAGGTATTTAAAGTAATTTCTAAGCTTACTAAAAACTCTGTAAAAAGGGCTGAATTAGAGGAGCCGCGGTCAATTCATCTCTTCGGATAATTAAACAAACTAGGAGTGCCATTTACTGTAGAAATTCGACTGGATTTCTATTGTTTATTAAACATATTTTTTGCACTAAAGTTTGGCAATGACTGACAATTTTCTGAAGCATTTTCAAAATAACTATCAACTCACTAAAGCTGTGCTGGAAGATGCAGAAACAAGAAAAGCACGAAGAAAAACAAAATTTGAAACATAAATATTCCTAAAAAAACACTAAATTTACCCTTTCTTCGATTCATTTCTAGTTCGTTTTGATCTTCGTATTCGTCCTCGTATTCGTCTTCACATTCGGTTACGTGTTCATCTTGGTTTTCGTGTGTGTTCGTTTATGACTTTGTCGTCGTATTCGTCTTCATATTCGTATTCCACTCGTAATCGTCCTCGTTCTAGTGTTCGTCATCGTCCTCGTATTCGTTTCCGCCTCCGTAATTGTCTTCGAATCGTCCCTGTATTCTCGTTCGATTGTTATTGGGCTTCCTTTCGTTTTCGTATTTGTCTTCATATTCGCGTTCGTCTACGTCTTTAAAGCAAAAAAAAAATAAAAAAAAATCAAACAACCAGCCATTTTGGAAACCATAAAAACTCTCGTCATCTGCAAAAAAATACCTTTCAAATTTTTTTTTGTGTGTCAAAATCGTTAAGTACTTATTTTTAAACAAAATTCAATCACTTAATCCGGTCAATCAAAAACATACTTAACTACACTAATTAGCAGAGTCCAAAATGTAAAACAAGTAATTTTTAAGCAAAATACATAACCGACTTCAATTCTCATATAAAAATTTAGGAGTACCGTTAATTTCTTCATGAGCCAATGATCGTATCTCAACCAAATTAGTATGGAACCACCTCTGAGGTAATAAAATCCTTTATACAAAAAAGCGTATGTAAACACGCTCTCCTTCAAGGCATATCAAACAGGTAGCTGTGCTTATTAGAGAAAAATAAAAAACAATTTCTGTGTATTTTGTTGTTGCAGAAGATTTACTACGGTTTTCAGAAAATTTAAAATTTACTATTCTTTCTGGGAAATGGCATAACTTTCGTGATTTTTCCACGATAATAATAGTTGAAACGTCATTTTAAAGATACTTTTTTCCACTCTTTCGCTAAAATATGCAACACTTGCTTGAAATAGTAGATGATAACTATGTCATCATAAATCCATTTGGTTCCTTACTTTGGCTAAAGACCGATTGTAGAGTCTAAGGCTAATAGGGTAAAGTTCCAGGGACACAATGGAGGATAGCGTAACGAATTTTTCGGCAAACATAAAATAAGAATCTGCAGCCATTTTGCATACTTAACTAAAAAAAAATTTCTCTTTGGTGTATGACGTTCTCCAGTAAACGAACGACCTTTAAAAAATCTACTACGGAACTTTATTTTCTGCAACGATTTTTCATATCATTTACTCCAATTTAAGCTTGCCATAGTTCTAACCAGTGTTGCCGTTTTAGCCCTTTGGTGGCTAGATTTAGCTACCACATACTTTTTTTGGCCACATAAATTTAAAATTGCCCCTAGCCCTTTTTTTAGCCTTTTTTAGAGTTTATTCATACTTGGCATGAAAAACTTGTATATGCTTAATTTGATCTAAAATTTTTTGTTCATCTATGTAAGAGATGAATTTTTAAACTAAGAATGACTGATATATATACATTAGACTGCATCACTCCCCATACAAAAAAAAATTGGTACTATTTTTCCATTGGAATTATAAAATCAATTATATTTTAAGACGGCCACCAAAATATTTCGGAAAAATATTAAGATTTAAGTGAGCTGGACCGATTTGAAAATACCTCCAAAAATGGAGTTTTTTATGAATACAATAGTTTCTTAAAGATTTTTATTAAAAAATCCCCTCAAATGACGAAACGGTTTAAGTTTAAATATTTGCATAAGAATATTTAAAAAAAAAAAGAAAACAATTTTTGGACGGAATCGTAATGATGAGATTTTTGATGCTGTTTTTTTTAACTTTTTTCAAAGATTGGTATAGGAAAAACTTGAATAACTGAACCTAAACTCTTCCGATTTAGACTTAAGAGGTGTCAATGGAAAGGTATTTTCCCTTTTATTTCTTTGCTAATAAACTCATTCAAAGGATGGAAGAGAAAGGTAGGATGAACGAACTTCTTTCAAAGTTGAATTAAGTTGTGTTGGTATTCGAAAAAACAAGATGGGACACGAATTTCGTTTTTTTGGCCAGAAATAAAAACAGAGTGCAAATACCTTTCTACTGAGATCCCATAAGTCTACATCAGAAAATTTTTGGCGCAATTATTCAAGTTTTTCGTAAACCAATCTTTGAAAAAAGTAAAAAACAGCATCAAAAATCCCATTCTTACGATTGCGTTGAAAAGATTTTTAAAGATTTTTATGCAGATTTTTTAAGCTTAATCTAATTTGTCATCTGAGGGGACTTTTATCAAAAAGATTTTAAGAAACTATTTTTATTCATAAAAAACTTCATTTTTGTAGGTATTTTCAAATCGGTCCAGCTCGCTTAAATCTTAATATTTTTCCGAAATATTTTGGTGGACGTCTTAAAATATAATAGATTTTATAATCCGGGCGGAAAAACCGCAACTTTTTTTGGTGATGCAGTCTAATATACATATATGTATTGTATGTTCCTTACGTTTTTATACTACTATAGTTTAAAGTAGATAAGTTTACGGCCCTTAATATGTGTATGTTCTTGTGGTGTGATTGTACCAGCTGCTGGTGCGACTTCAAAAACTATTTGAAAATTTTATGATTGAAATGATTTGATGAAATTAGCTCAATTTTCTAAGTAAAAAGTATTTTGGCGGAAATTTCTTGCCCTATATGGGTCAAAGCCGTGTTTGTGGAAGATTAAGTTCACGATATTGCAGTTTTGAAAAAAACAATGTTTAACAAAATGGTAGAAAAATTATGAAATTTTGGATCTAATCATTTCGATCTTTTCTCGACCTCATTTGTAAAGAAATAAATATTGTACCAGCATGCTGGTAAGTTATATGCTTCGAGTCTGATCGTACAATCACTTGATGGAGCCAGCAAGCTGGTGTCGTATATTTCCCCTTTTATACAAAAAGGTTTTTGGTTGGATAAAATCTTAGGTTTTTTCCAGACTTCATTGTTTTTCTATACCATTACTTGTTGAAAATGTTTGCGTGTATACTTATATATGTATATGTAAGTAAAAAATTTAGCTACCATTTTTAGCCACAACGACTTTTTTTAGCTCTTTTTTAGCCCTTTTTTTAACGGAATTTGGCTACCGCTAAAAATGATTCGCGGCAACACTGGTTCTAACCCTGTGTGTCAACAAATTATTGTAGTTGCTACCTAGCAACGGCAAACTACAATTTTAATATTGGGCACGTTCAGAAGGCGCAACAGCTCAGTAACTGTTGCGATTGCACCTTCTGAACGCATTGTTTTGTACTTCTGATCCACTGAACAGTTGCGTGTTTGATGATCGTAATATTTTTCTGTGTTTTGAATTTGACAGATAATGTATCAAGCCGTTCAGAAGGCGCAACAGCTCAGTAACTGTTGCGATTGCACCTTCTGAACGCATTGTTTTGTACTTCTGATCCACTGAACAGTTGCGTGTTTGATGATCGTAATATTTTTCTGTGTTTTGAATTTGACAGATAATGTATCAAGCCGTTCAGAAGGCGCAACAGCTCAGTAACTGTTGCGATTGCACCTTCTGAACGCATTGTTTTGTACTTCTGATCCACTGAACAGTTGCGTGTTTGATGATCGTAATATTTTTCTGTGTTTTGAATTTGACAGATAATGTATCAAGCCGTTCAGAAGACGCATTACTATCACTGATTTTTTTAGCAACGGTTGCGCTCAACTGCTGCGCTTTCTGCTCCTACCCATTGTAATTTCTATACCACATGTGCATG